GTTAAAAAGATGGCAGCCTTAATAAACTCAGTAGGAGCTTGGAACCAGAGGCAGGGTTGATACGTCACCATATATGACCTCTTGTTCTACATGTTGGAACAGCAGGTCATACTAATGATGACGTGCACCAGACACGTCCTAGTATCAATAAGCATAAAACAAGAAAGGCACTGCTAAGTGAAATGAAAGGGCACAACTGGTAGAACTCGCAGTACACGTGGGGCTCAATCTAGGCTGACTGCTGCAGAGCCATGTGTTTACCTGAGGACACCAATCACCCAGCTTGATGGTGGAAGCACCTTCAGTTGAACTAATCATTTACTGTATGACTTTATCAGTCCCTAACATTTTGGCTCATTCTTCTTTATAACATTGCCTCAGTTCAGTGCTCTGTGTGGGTATTCAGTTATAGACATTTGTGCTCTCTCTGAAGGTCCCGCCAAAGCATTTTAGTGGGGCTGAGGTCTGGAATGGGCCTTTGCAGCAGCTTGACTCTTTTTCAGCTGTGCTTGTGATCATCGTCCTGTTGCATGACCCAATTAGAGCCAAGCTTTAACTGTCAGACAGATGTCCACACTTCATGCTCCACTCAGTGATTGAAAGGTGCCCAGATCACCACGCCTCCACCACTGTGCTTCACAGTTTGTGCTGATATTTAAAAGTGGTCCTCTGCACGCCGCCAGACGTCTTCACTTTGGTATCGTCTGTCTGAAGGATATTGTTCTGAGTGTTTTGTTGTTTATTTTGCAGCTATGCAAACCTAAGCTGTGCTACCACACTGACTTTAGACAGAAGAGGCTTCGCCTGGCAGCCCTTCCAACAACTTGTATGATTTCAAGTCTTTTTTCTAATTGTACTGACATGAAATGCATCATTTGAGATGCAACACAGGCCACCTATATCGCCTTATCCCAAGGAAGCATTAAGGTGTTTTTTGTACTTTTCTGTCCTCTGCAGGGTCCTGTAAATGATTTTAACATGGTTTTATGTTGAATATATGTGAGAGTGTGCTGTTTGAGAAGAAGAAAGCCCAGGTCTACCAGTGCACTAAAGGAGGTGAAGAACAAAGGTTACAATGTTAGAGAGATGTCCATGTGTGTGGCAACATAGTAACCACGATGAATAAGCACAGTCACGTAGCCAGCTGGTTTCATTTGAACTTGGAGACAGCCAGAGGCTCTAACGGTAAAGAAACAGCGAGCAGCATGCTAACATCTGCTAATTCCTGCTTCATGTTGTAACAAGTTCAAGTTGGCAGAGCGCAGTTTGACAGACCATAGTATTATTACTACTGTAGAGTTATCACACGATGTGATGGACAACACATCACAACACGTAGTGGGGAGCCCACGGGGGGAGGAGCTGGGCGCAAAAGAACCACCTCAACAAATCTGGACGTGACTCCACCCTCCGTGTGCAGTGGGGAGTGGGGCAGCCGAGTGACAGTTCAACCCGAACCCAAACCATCCGTGACTGTGGCTCAGCAGGCTGAACTTTGACTTTGTCTCTGTGTTTTTTTTCTCGGTGTTCCCGGAGAGGATATCGGGACTTCTGAAGTTTGGAGCCGCTTTTCTTCAGAAGCTTTGCGCCACTTTATTCCTGCACACAGGCGCTCTGTGAAGCGCGCCTTTCATCTCTCTTTAAAAAGGAAAAAACCCGCTGAAAACACGGAGGATTGTTCGAGCTGGAAGTGGAAGCCTTAGAGGAACACAGCGTAGCCCGCAGGTACAGTAGCTCTGCGTTATCTTCGCCCTGAGTACACGTTTAGAGACGTGGAC